TTTAAAGAGGAAGTTTGGGGTTTTTTTCTTTTTTAGAAAAATATCTTGGCTTTTTTTTTTGCTCATCTGTTCAAAATCTCAAATCCTCCACAGTAACAGGCCAGACCACCGAGTTAACGCAAACCCAGAGACCCCTATGGATTAATTGTACTGTTTGTGAATTTGTATAAAAAAAAAATAACAAAGATCCTCTTAAAACATTTTATATTCTTACAGTAAAAGGTTAAACATATTTATATAATAAAAGAGGAAATATGAAGTATGTTTTTGAAAAAAAAAAAAAAAAAAAAAAAAGTCTGTGTTGTCTGTGCTTTTTAAAGACAGGTATCTATCTACCTATCCACGCGTTGGGTTTGGTAAGTGTGCCGTGCTGCTCGTGCCGGGGCTTTGGGGCTGCTCACTCTTGTTCCAGTGAGCGACGGAGGAGGAGAAGGAAGGAAGAGAGCCTGGTGCCTCCTGCGCAGGATGTTGAGTAACATCAGCATGAAGAGTTTTTAAGGAGGGGGTTTGGTAGGACCAGCCTTGTCAGCGAGGGCGCTCGCAGCATCCGTGGGGAGAAATGGAGTTCAGCTGCCTGTCGGTGTGAGGTGTCAGCTCAGTTTGAGGTCAGACAACCCGAAAGTGCTGAAGCTCGCTAGCAAGTGAATCGAGTATTCAGTGGCAGAGGAAGACATTTGGGGGTGGGGAGGAGGGTAGAAGGGCTGTGTTTCTTAATTTTTTAAAGCTGCAGGTAGACGGCAGAGGTTTTTGTGATTTACTTAAATTACTCAATTTAAGTAAATCACAAAGTAAATTGATGGGTGGAAGACCTATCAAATAAAAATATTTCCCAGCAGTGACAACCACCAAAAACCGTGCCCTTGCCAGCGCATGAGGACCTGGGAAATCCAAAATGTCTTGGTTGGCTTCCACTGCCCAAACTAAGATTAAAGAGGAAGTAAAGTGGGAATGTAAAAAAAAAAAAAAATTGACTAATCTAAGGTGTCCTTTGTCCTCTACCATAATCTTTCTTCTCAACGTATGACTTTTAACCCGACGGGGTCCCTTTTTAGCCTTCCACGATGTGGGTTTTTTATTGTTGTTGGAGCTGGAGCTTAAGCGGTGCTTATAGGGCAGCGACAAAGCCCGTCTCCCCCCGGCCCGGCGGTGGGGCTCGCTCGCCCCGCTGCCCCCTTCCTGCCTCGAAGGAGGGGGAATGCGAAATGGTGGAAGAAGCCGGAGCCATTGTTCAGGAAAGTTAAAAGAGGAGCTGTCCTTGCTTGCTTGCTCAGTCATGCATACTCAATCTGGCCGGGCCCGGGTCCCTATGGAAAGGAGGAGGGCAATTCTTCCCCTCTTTTTAACATTCCTCTCCAGGCCTGGCTGTATTTAAGCTGCTTTCCTCTGCTCCGAGGAGGAGGGAGGGGGATGGTCTGAAGTTCCTGTACATTTGCATTTTAAGCACTTCCAGCGCTGAGCAGGCCACTTTGTTCCCCCGCACTACCCCGCGCCAGCAGCCCTCGCCGGGCTGCTGCTCCAGGTGGGTCGGATGCCCTACCAAAGGAGGTCCCCTCCGCGTCCGGAGCCGGCCTGTCCCAGGTGCTTAGCCTCTGCTTCCACAGGTATTTTTGGTTGAGGCTGGACTGGGCATACGTCTTTGTTGCCAGCTCTCCCCACCTCACCCCTTTTATGCCAGTGCCGCATCTCAAAGGGGAAAATAGTGCCCAACTCTGGACCTCTTAAAAAGAAACACTATCTCCTGCATCCGAAGGACCTGGACTGTCTCAAGGTTTGGAAAAGGGGGGGGGGGGTGTTGGGTTTTTCCTCCTCTCTTTCCAAGACTTCCAAGCTTTCTGCTGGGAGTCCATCACAAAAGCTGCATTGTTCACTTTAGGGAAAGCCACCACAATTGGATCTAATTGAGCCTGACACTATATCCATCTTCCTTTCCTTGGAGGGAGGTGTGGGGTCTGTCTTTCCTGCGTTAAGGAGAAAAGTTTACAGTAACTTCTTGACCGAAAAAGAGGATGTATGTATGAACGTTATAAACAATGGGAATTCCAGATCAGGTTCCCTTTACTGCTGTGAATGTAAATGTTCCTGCGGTAGGCAGCGGTTCCAGCCAGGGATAAGGAACGCTACATCTCTCATAAGGTAGGGTTGTTTCTGATGGATTTGAGTGAAAATGGCATCTCTTTTTATTAAGCCCCACGGTCACATGGATAATAGCGGGGCATCTATGCCTAAATACAACGTGTGTGCTCATAAGTTCTGTAATCAGAACTAGGGCAGGACTTTTTTTCCTTAAAAAAAACCCCAAAACCCAACCAACCAAGCTTCCTCTCTCCCCACTTCTTAAAAAAAAAAACAAGCCAAAACATTGCCCACATGGCCTGCAATGCTATTTAAGGGGAACCCAAGCCTAAGGAAGCTGCCGAAACCAAAGCCTCAATAAAGCCCACTGTTTAGACACCGGGCTGTTCCCGTAGATGGAGCAAGCGCTCCTCATGCCTTCCTCATGCCCCAGTGTGACGGCACCTCCTCCGGCACACAGGCAGTCCTCCCTGTCCAGCAAGGCCAGGGCTGGGCAAATGCATGTGTTTACCAGTAAAGAGAAAGATTTCTTAAAATAAACAATCCATTGCCAGCAACCATAGACCAATTACCGTATGACTTCTCAGGTTAACAAGGAAACTTAATTTTCACTCTCCAGCCGCTCTTGAATTTTTGAAGATGACTCAGTTGGCAACTGGGGTAGAAAACCATTAAAAAAAAAACCAAACCCACACTATTTGGAAGTGAGCTAGAAGTCTCCCGTCTGTATCAGTGAGCCCACGGTGCCCCAGCGGTGGCTTTGGTGTCAGCCTTCATCACTGCACCCAGCAAAAGCGATCCCAGCCCATCCAGCCGTGCCCGGTGGGGCAGCCTTGGGGCAGCAAGGGTCCCTTGCCTACAAGCCATACAAGCCTGGGCACAGAGGATGGAGGATGAACCAGGGACCTGCTTTACGGACTGGTGGCTCTGGGGAGCAGAAGGGCCACGCTTGAGACGTGGCAGCAGAAAGTGGAGCAGAGCAGGAGCGATGCAAAGGGGGGGATGAAGGGACCGGGCAGGAGAGGAGGTGGCCGGGGACCAGGGGCAGCAGTGGGGGACGCTGGCTTGCAAGCTGCAGCAAAGTCTCGGCGTGCATGGGGGTCCCTGGTCTGCTGCAGCAGCTGCTCCCCTGGCCAGAGCCAGCGGCTGGCTCCTCTCCCCAGGAGATGGGGAGGAAAAGGAGGCTCCACCTGGGTCCTACTGCCCTTGAACTAGCATACAGGAGGTCCCTGCATGACAGATTTAGACATTTTATACCTTCCCACCCCACGCTGTGGGTGCAGCTAAATCAGTTTGTCGTGGTGATTCTGGGGGCCTTTGTTTCCCCTGTTAATAAATAACGGGGTCACGAGGCAGCTGTCATGCAAACCGCCTGGGGCCTGTGCTAGGATGAGAGGTGATCTCAGTGCTGGATATTACAGAGCTTACTACTGAACCTGCCCTTTGGCAGTCAGGGAAGAGTTAAAACAAGAGCTGGGTGGCCAA